ACTGGGAGTGCGCCGACGGTGGAGCAGACCATGGCGGACCAACTCAGGCAGGTGTCTGCGCAGGGCTCAGAGCCGCAAGCGGAGCCTAGGCCTGCCAGCAACGAGGAACCCACACCGACGGCTACCAACCAGGCCATCCCAGATGACGACGATGCCGATCTACTACCACACCCAGAGCAGCAAGAAGCACCAGCAGTTCAACAACCACCAGCTGAGTTACCTGCTCAACAGGTGACCGACGCAATGCGGAGGAGCCAGGGCGCCTCGGAGATGGCGCCGCAGCGAGACCGACAGAGCAGCGTCAGCCGGTCGGGCCCCTATGACAAGGTGGAGATCGCAGTGGATGTGTTCATGAGCGTGGAGGCCCCACCCAAGGGCTGGAGCTACGACGCGGAGACCACGGCGTTCAACCTGGACTTTGAAGAGTGCTGCGCGGCCGGCGAGCTGAGCGAGAGGAACATGAACGCTGAGGACAAGGCCAAGTTTGCGGAGGCGAAGCGCGCGGAGCTCCAGAGCTTCTTTGGCAGCCAGGTCTGGGAGCAGGACAAGAAGGAGGTGGAAGACCCCAAGAAGGTCTTGCGCGCTCGGTTTCTGCTGAAGTGGTCGAGGAACGCTGACGGGAGCCACCGAGCCAAGGCGCGGTTGGTGATCCAAGGGTTTCGCGATCCAGACGCTATCGCGGGGACCCTGACCAAATCTTCACCTACGATGACGAGATTGAGCAGGGCGTTCATCGTGCTCCTGAGTCGCGTCCATGGTTGGACCCTGTTCACGGCGGACGTGAGCGCCGCATTCCTGCAGGGCAAGCGCTCGGATCGCGGCATCTCAGTACTCTTGCCATCCGAAAACCGCAAGATGCTCGGGTACCAGCCTGGAACGAGGATGAAGTTGCTCAAGAGCATGCGCGGCCTGGGCGACGCGCCGAGGCTCTGGTGTGAGGAGGCTACAGACCGCATGATCGGGTGCGGCTTCGTGGTTCACCCTCTGGGCCCCTGCCTGTTCCTGAGCTACCGGCTGGACGAGACTAACGTGAAGGTGTTCGACGGCGCTATCGGACTACATGTGGACGCTATGCTAGGGGGCGACAGCAACCAGGAGGGCCAGGCGTGCTTTTCGGCGCGCGTCCAAGAGCTCAAGGAGGTTTTCAATTTCCGGACGTGGGAGGACACTAGCCTGGCACCCTGAACGTGGCAGGCGACTCGCCCATGGACTTCTGTGGCAACCAGCTCACCAAGGCGACAAACGGAGATTGCCAGATGAGCTGCGAGGCCTACATCAAGGCACTCAAGCCGATCACGATGACCAAGAGCAGGGCCAGCGACCACAAGTTGGCCATCGCGGAGGGCGAGCGACGGCAGCTACGAGGACTTATGGGCAGCCTGGCGCGGCCAAGCAACCAGGCGGCGCCTCACTTGCAGTGCAGCGTGAGTCTCGGACAAGGCTCGATCAACGAGGGCTCCACCGTGCAGGACTTAGTGGAGGCCAACAAGACGCTGAGGTTCGCCAAGGCCAACAGCGACGTGTGCCAAGTGTTCCCCAAGATATGCGATAACCCCAACGAGGTGGCGTTCATTTGCATGACGGACGCGGCACGGGCAGTGCGACGTGATGGAAGCTCGCAGGGAGGCTACCTCATCCTGGCGGCGCACAGGAGTGTGTTGAGCGGCGAGACGGCCAAGTACACAGTGGTCGACTGGCGCTCGTGGAAGCTACCAAGGGTGAGCAGGTCCTCATTGGCGAGTGAGGCCCAAGCTGCAGCAGGAGGAGTGGACGCACTCGAGTATGTGAAGGTGCACTACAACCTGATGCTCGACCCGACGAGGGACCCGAGGCTCAACGGCGCCATGGCGGTGCTGGGAAGGAGTGCGTTGGTGGTGGACGCCAAGGCGCTGTACGACGCGGCCCAGAAGCCACACGTGCACAACTTCGACGACAAGCGGGCGGGCATCGAGGTGCAGGTGCTACAGGAGCGTATGGCGGCAAGCGCTACGGGCTGGTACTGGGTCAGCTCGGAGCGCCAGTTCGCAGACGGCTACACCAAGCTGTCGGCGCGACAACTACTGGCAGACAGGCTGCGGACCGGAACGATCAGCCTGAAATTTGACGAGAAGTTCCAGGCAGCCAAGAAGAAGACCGGAAAGGACCGACAGGAGGAGGCCAAGAGGTTCGCAATACCGATACCGAAGGCAAGTACAATGACGGCGATGGCGACCATGGCATCCCTGACGACAGCAGCCAGCAGCGAGGTGAAGATCTACGACGCGAAGGCGACGGCAGTGATGGAGCTCGAGTGGACCATGGCACCGCAAGTGGTGATCAAGATTCCCCTCGGCACGTTCATCAAGGCAGTTGTGACGACCATCCCGATGATCGTAGGCCTCCTCACAGTGTGCTACGTGACCTACAGCAAATGGTTCGAGAAGGAGACGAGACGAGCCGGAACCTGAGCAGCCAGAAGATAAGACGAAACACAAACGTGAGCAGAAGGTGAAGATCAGCAGTATCAGGTGGAACGTCGGAGTTCAAGGCCCTATACACTATTCATCTGTGGGTCAGCCTGACGGAGTTCACGGACGATGTGTTCACGCTACGCAGGGTTTTTCCCGAGGCTGGGAAGTGACGAGAGTGTCAGCGGAATCCCGCGCTGGCCTGAAGGGCCAAAGTGAGTGAGCCCCGGCAAAACACGTTTTGCATCCTGTTCAAGTCTCGAAGCTTTCCTTTCCCTCCCCCTCGCAATGAAGCTATTTGTTTTGAGAGGTTGATTGCGACGATCGACCGGCGCATTTCTTTCGAGCATGTGTTTAGCAGCAGGCAATGTAATGACAAGCAGCTGCGAAGGATTTTCATGAGATAAAGGTGAGTGATTAATCAGTTTTCGTTCCCTTTTCCACCAGTGTGAATTGTGCTCCCTACAATGCAGTTGCTAGTGTGTTTGAGAGGATTTCTGACATAAGATATTAGATAACGCTGGAACCATCTTGCTGGAACGCTTGAGCTCTGAAAGGGCGGCAGGCACAGGCAGGAACTCTCCTGAGCACTGAAAGGTTGCCCTGATATTGCCAGAACTGTCACAGGCACCAGCAAGAACTCTCCTGAGCACTGAAAGCGGTGGGGAAGGAGGGAGAGAGGAGGAAGGAGGAGGAGAAGGATTAGGAGCTTGGCAGAAAGAGAAGGAGGAGGAGGGCGAGGATCTGAACCGGAGAGGAGGAGGAGGAAGAGGAGGAGGGGGAAGAGGGCGATGCGAAGCTAGGAAAACACAGGGAAACACAAGGAAAACACAGCTAGAAATATGAGGATGTCTCATGCCAGTTGGCAACTGCTAATAAGAACTGCGAGGATGTCTCAGGCGATATGGCCCATTCTATTAAGAAATGTGAGGATGTCTGAGGCGATTTTGGCCAATTCTATTATGAAATGCGAGGGTGTCTCAGGGGATTTTGCTAATTCTATTAAGAAATGTGAGGATGACTTAGGCGAGTCGGCCGATCCGCCTGGTCGTTGTCGCCGTCGCCGTCGCCATCGCCGTCTCCTCCTCCTCCTCCCTTCTCCTCCTCCTCCTCCTCCTCCTCCTGGCCCCAGGTGCCAGAATAACGCTTCCAGGTGCGGGGGGATATCGTTTCGCCGGAAGGGGGGGGGTTGTAATTGCTTCTCCGGTTTACCACCCTCCCCCCAGCATGCATGGCAGAGTATGTGTACAGCACGAATTGCAGAGCAGCAGTCAAGACAGCAAGCACCATTGCCATCTTTAGCTCGAGAGGCCTCTCGGCAGACCAAAAGGTTACCATCACCCTTCCCCGCCCGCAGAGCGTGATCGGGGACGGTGTCGAGGACGTTTCGGCCGAGGACGGGAAACGGATTTCGAGGGTAGTTCGACGACTTCGGGAGCGTTGAGCAATTGACACCTTCACCTCCTTCTCCCTGCGGGGTCGTCGCCACGGCTGGACGCAGCGCCGGAAGGCGAGGGTCGGTGTGATCGACGTGGGGAGGGAGGCAGGGAAGAGGGTTAGGACTAGGTTGGGTTAGGACGGGCCCCGAGGGGAAGAGACTCGCGAGTCTGAAACTGGGAGGCCGGTGGCACCCCTCAGGGTGGGAATTGTTACCCTGGAGGACAGAGCTCCCCGCACTCTGACCAGGGCCCGCGACGGGGTGCCACGACCTGCTATTGCTCTGCCTTGTGGGCCTCCTTGGCCCGCACTCGCTCCGCGAGAGCAGCCAGCCGCCTCTCGTACTCAGGGACAGCAGGAGCGTCAGACAGGGCAGACGGCTTGGCTGTCCAGGGACTAGAGCGGCAATAAACTCGCCAAGTGAGACTGGAGCTGGACCCCAAACAGTGCGCAGCAGGCGCCGAGTGAGGACATTCGGCACGGGCGCCAAGACAGAGCCCTACGAGCAGCACACAGGAACCTCAGCGACGAAAGCGATGGGACGCGTCGTCCCGAAACGCCGAGGCTAGAGAAGGAGCAATTCCTATCCATATCCACCACTCCCCTCATCAGCCATCCTCCTCGGCGGTCCAGCGCGGCGGCCCAGGAGCGGCTGGGAAACCCTGGGATGGAGGGGGGCGCCCTTCTCCCCAGAACGCCGACGTCGTGACTTGGTCGCAACGTCGACCCCCAAAGGTCTGGACCCCTTATGACCGGATCTTCATCCTCTTGCTTCTTGGTAGCCCCGAGGCCCAGGGAGGGCCCCCCGAAGCCAAAGACTGCAACAAAGCAGCCTGCCGTGATCCTGGCACGCTGGCAAGCTCGGTGTCCTCCGACACCGACGGCGGCTCTTCGGGCTGGGCCCCAGGCTGCGCCCGGGCCGCCCGCCGACGTGCGGACACCCCGCGGAGGGAGGGGGGGGGGTCCCGGGTCAGAATACCACCCTCTCCCGGCCCGCCCTCTCACCCCCATCTCCGTCGAGGGCCGAGGTCCCCAGGCTCGGCGGCACCGGCCGCAAGGCCTTCCCAACCAGTGCCCTCCGACACCGACGGCGGCTCATCGGGCCGAGCCCCAGGCTGCGCCCGGGAGCCGCCGACGTGCGGGCGTTGGCCCTGCTGCGCATGGTGTGGGGACCTCGCGCCCGTGCGCCCGGCGCCGCTGCTCTCTTCGATGATCCTCAGGCCCTGCGATCCAGGCGTCTCAACAAAATCGCGGCGGCAATGTTTGCCAACACTTTTGGCTGCGACGCAGGCGTCTCAACAAAATCGCGCCGGCAATAATTGTCGGCATTTGCGGCCTCTTGGTGCCGTGTCCCGGCCTCGGGACGGTCGGAAGACCACCCAGGATCCCCAGGATTCCATTCTTAGCCCGTTCGGCCTCTTGGCTCTGAGCCCATTCGGTCGCTGCATGGGCATGGGATGCGGCCCGTTAGAAAAGGAAATCCTGTAGATGACAAGCTGGCCCCAGGGAACTGGTCGAGATCCCGTGGGACCCACGTCACGAAAAAACGCATCGTCGGATGAGAGGGGAACATGAGTTATCGCCTAGGTATGCTTGTCCGCCGAAGCCCTTCAAGGCGAAACAGGCGGCATAATGAGGGCCGAGAAACGCTGCGTGCCATCGGTGGAGCTGAACGGGGCAAACACACACAAGGCTAACGCAAACCCTGAGGATCATGGACCTCTCCGCCTCCCGCGGCCCCCATGTCTTGAGAACCCCAGAACAAAAGGCCTGCGCGGACTTTTGGGGTCGGCTCTGAGCTCCTTCCCCGCACCCTTGGGCGGCGCCCCTGGCGCGCTCCGTGCTCCGGGGAAGCAGACCCCTCCCTTCCCCCTTTCCCCTCCCCCATGGCCCCCAAATCTGAGGCATTGTCCTTCTTCTTCTCCCCGTCTTCGGTTCGTTCCCATTCCCCGGGCTTCCCCATACTTCCCTCCTCCACCCTTCGTCACGACCACTCCTCTTCTTCATACTCCTTCCCCCCCGTCTCTCCCTCATCATCGTCGTCGTCCTCCTCCTCCAGTCCCACCCGTCCTATCACCCCTCCTCCCCCCTCCCTCTCCCCCGCTCCCCAGCTCCCCCTCCTCTCCGCCGTCCCCTCTCGCCAGTGTCGCTGCCGTCCTCGTTGCCGCAGCCGCCGCTGCCGCCGCCGCCGTTCTCGCCGCCGCTGCCGTCCTGGCTGCCGTCCTCGCCGCCGCCGCCACCGTCGCCAACGTCGCCGCCGCGGCCGCCCGCCCGCCCGCGCAGCGGGAACGTGGCGGCGGGCCTGCCCGGTCTGGCGTCCCCGCCGCCAGCGGGCGGGGGAGCGGCCCCGGGCCAGACGAACCTGCCGCCGCCGCGCGCCGCGCGCGCAGGCCCCCGCCGCGCCCTGCCCCCCCCTTCGGCTCGTGGCTCGTGCAGCTACCACCTGGCCCCCTCTACCCCTCCTCGTTCACCCCTTCATTCAGCACAGGCTGGCGCGCCGAATGCATTCGCCTCCCCCCCCCTCGCCCCCCCCCCCACACCACCACACACGCACACACAAACACACACACAGACAGACAGACAGACAGACAGACAGACAGACAGACAGACAGACAGACAGACAGACAGACAGACAGACAGACAGACAGACAGACAGACAGACAGACAGACAGACAGACAGACAAAACAAATCCCACCAGCCCTATGGGCGGAGGTGGTTTAGCAAATTTCCTGTTCCAACTCTCCTTCTTCCCCTTCGGGGAGTTTACCACTGCTCCGTAGTAAGAAACCCCTCTCCCCTCTCCCACCCGACCGGCGACTAACGCGGGACAGTGCGACCCACCCACCCCCGGGCCATCCCTGCCAACAAAACTCTGCAAAGTGCACAGTGCGGAAAAATCTGGACCGTGCGCGGTCCCCGTGAGCACGCTGCATCCGTTTTCACCAGGGGTAGCGGGGGGGGGACCTCCCATTGCCCGCCCTGCGCAGGCCTACAGCCTCTGACCTCTGCCAAGACACGATGCTGAATACACTTCGCGGCAAAATCCGGACCGTGCGCGGGCGCCCCATGATCACGTTGCCGGGTTTTTGAAGAGGGCGGCGGCCGTACCCTCGAAAAGTCCCGCCTGCGCAGGCCCACCATCCCTGCCAACACACAGTGCAAAGCACACTGTGCGGCAACAGCTGGTGCATACGCGGGCGCTCCGCACTCACTTGGCATCGGTTTTCGATGGAAAGCGCTGCGGAGGGGGGCCCTCCTATTGACTGCTCTGCGCAAGCTCAGGATCCCGGACAAAAACCATACAAATGCACTTTAGGGCAAAATCTGGATCATGCGCGGGCGCCCCACGATCATCGAGAGCGGCCAAGAGGGGGGTGTCCAAGAGGGGGGGGTGCAAATTATGACCGGCGGCATGTGCGCGGCCCAGCGGGGGGGCCAGGGACGTAATGAAATAAGAAGGGACGCCACGAAATCTGGGGAAATATCATGGCCCCCGCCATGATATCCACCCCCCCCAGTCATCACCCCCCTCTTTGCCGCCCCCAAACGATCACTTTGCATTGGTTCTGACCAGGACGGCGGGGGTACGTACGCACATATTCTCTGCCCTGTGCTTCCGACGGGACTCATAAACTCAGTGGGATCGGTGCCGTAGGCTCGGATGCTGCCTAAGCATTGGGATGGGCCCTGGGACACACAAATAAATAGACACAAATCAAAGGATTCACCATATACCATATTTTCCAATATTTCTGAGTTTTTGTCTTCCCCCCACTTCCCATATTTTCCCATATTTTCTGGGGAATCGACGATTAATTGTGTCTGTGTTTTTTTTTCTCCCTCCTGAGTATTGGGAGGGCGGGTGGGAGTGAGCAACAAGGCCCACCCAACTGGCGACAAACCCAGGACACTGCCACCACCATCCACAGTGCCACGTAACACACAATGCAAAGGGTGCTTTGCACCACAGTCCGGATCATGCGCGGACGCCCCGCGATCACTGCGAGTAGGTTTTCGACAGGGATGCTAGGGGCCACGCGCAGGGCCGAGCGCGAGAAGCACGAGAGGAATCATGGCGAACGCTTGACTGTTTTCGCCCTGAAGCCCTCGGGCCGCCTGGGCGCCTCGGCGCGGCAGTGGCTGCTTGCCCAGGCGCTCGAGGCCCCCCGAGGACACGAGCCTAAAAAGGGCGTACACGCCCAACCATGTACACGAATGTGCTCGCCAATTGCGCGGGGCCGCCCTCATGCTACGCACGCTCGCGTAAAGCAGTCTCTCGGACCCCGTGCGAGTTCATGTGCGCGGTTGGGAGATCGTGCCACACCGCGGATGCATCGGCGTCGTCGGCGATGCATCGGCGCCGTCGGCCTGGAGAAAATCGGGCTGCGCATCGACCTGCATCGGCAACGCGTTGGCGATGCGGCGCCACCCTCCGATTCCATCAGCTCAGACCTCGTGTATTTGCCCACAACTCAGACGTCGCGTTTTTTTGGCAGCTTCGACCTCCATGGGTCTGGACGCCTTCCCCGGGACCGGTTTTTCATCCGGGGCCGTCGTGTGACAATCCCGAGGCCCGGTGCGGGCCCCCAGAGGCCGGAAACTGCAAAAATTATCCCGTCCCGTTTTTTTCTCGACGACCGGTGGGAGGCCCAGGTGATTCTCGGGTCATGATTCGGGCCCTCAACAGCCGATGGGGACGATCCGAGCAGCCCCAGAACGCCTTCGATGAGGCGCAGCTGCCGGAGAGCACCCTGAGGCTGGGAGCCCCCCCCCCCAAAAGCAAGCGAAAACCGGCGAAAACTGCACCTCTTCTGACAAGACGAGCCTCTGCTTCGCCCCTCCCCCCCCCCCCCCCTCCCACTGCGAGCCGCCCCCAGCCGCGTGTGCTGGGGACGCGGAGCGGCCACGGTGAGGCGGCCCGGGGCCGGGCGGCCCTCGGGGCAGCAGGGGGGGGCACAGCGCCGTCGTCGTCGTCTGCGGGCGTCGTCGGCCGTCGCCCGTCGTCGTTGTCAGCGGGCGTCGTCGGCCGTCGCCGTCGGTCGGCATCAGCGCTCGTCGTCGGTCGGCAGTCGGTCATCGGTCGGCCGTCGTCGTCGGGCGCCGTCGTCGTCGGGGGTCGTCGTCGTCCGTCGGCGCGTGCGGTCCGTGGTGTCGGCGTCGGCGTCCTTGTCGTCGTTGTCGTCGTCGTCGTCGTTGTCGTCTTTGCCCGTCGGCAGCGGTCGTCGTCATCGTCAAACGTCGTTGGGTATCGTGCCATCCTCAGTCGACGTACGGCGTCGGTTTTCGAACGTGGGTCGTCGGCCGTTGTCGTCGAAAGAGGAGATGGGAAGAGAGGCGGGGGAAGGGATGAAAGGAGGAAGGAGAGGAAGGAAGAAGGTAGGGAGGGAGAGGAAGGAGGGAGAGGAAGGATGAAGGAAGGACGAAGGGGAAACGAGGAGGTATGGAGGGAAGGAGGGAGAAGGGAGGAAGGAGAAGTGGTGCGGGCAGAGGGAGGAGGCAAAAGGAGGACCCCTGGACTCTTCGAGCGGACTAGACAGCACAAGCCAGCATGGCGTGCCACGGGGTTCAGCCCACACCCTCCAAAACCCCAGGTGGACCCAAGGGTCCAGAAGGGCCGGGATGGAAAGGCACAACTTGCAGGCATACCCACGCCAAGCTGTGCTCTATCTACCAGGCCATGCCGTCCTAGCGGCTGTCCTCGCAGCCCGCCCTGCGCAGCGCGGCCGAAGCTGGACGAGGAAGAGGAGGAGAAGGAGGAGGAGGCGCGTTCAAAACACAATCGTTTTAAGCCGTTGACCATCACGAGGTCAACCACGCCCTTCCACAGGCGATCGATCTCGACGGTGGTGGACTTCAGGCTCTCCTTCATATCCTCGACGGTCTGCTCAACTTTCTTCAGCGCTTCGCACTGCAAATCCAACTTCCCCTGCGCGTTCATCACGCCATCCCGTTGATCCTGCACGCTGGACTGCAGGGCGTCCACACGCTGCACCATCAACTGGGCGCTGCCGTCCACGCGCTCGAACTGGCACAGCACCGATGACACGAGGTTCGGTTGCTCGTGCGCCTTGGCCTTCACGGTGTCGAGGTAACCCTGCGCAGACTTTACCAGATCCATATTCTCCATCAACGTGGACTGCGCCACGTCCACGCGTTTCTCAATCAGCTCTCACTTTTGGCTCAAGCGCTCCTCGAGCTTATCGGTCCTGTTGCGTAGCTCAATCTTCGGGGACATCGTGATGTCCTCCACGACGGGGGAGTCGTGCAGATCGGGCTCACAGATGCCGATGAGCTTCTCCCCCAAGGGCGTCCCCTCGTCTCTCTTGTCATCCTCGTTTAAGGACGCACAGCGTGGGGCAAGCTCCGTCCTACAAGAGCATACCTTGCCCAAATTGGTCTTCAAAGATTCGCCAAAGCCCTTGCCTCCCAGCATCATCTCGGTGTTGGTGGTGAGCTCTTCGGAGGCGATGGCGTCGTCCAATTCCTCGCACACGTCGATGACAAAGTCCCTCGTCCTTTGGGTGAACCGCGCAACGCCGCCCCTTCAAGAGCTTGTCGGCTCTCGTCGCGTACTCGTCCAGGTTCCTCCAGAGCAGCGCGCCGCGCGACGCGGCAGGTGACGCAGATGACGAGAGCCCCAATGCCCCCCTGCCCTGAACTTCTCCTCTTTTAGAGCACGTCATTCTTTTTCTCCTCCGCACCGTGGGTGCTGTGGTGCGGAGAGCCATGGGCAGCAGCAACAGCAGCAGGAGCTGCCGCGCACCCCGCCCCCCTTCATGAGCCACTCCTGTACGGAGCGCCAAGTACATCGGCAAACGACGTCATGGCTCGTTCTGCAGAAGAAAAGGTCATTGCCTGGCTCTCACGCCGAAATGGCTTGAACCCAGACCTAAATCACTACGGAGGCCAAAGCGAGGAGTGAGAGATAGAGAAAGGGGTGCTGGACCTGACGCCCGAAGACGGACGACACTATGAAATCCTGCCGTCTGGCAAGGAGCACGCCCGCCGACACGAAATGGCTCCGCCGAAGCGCGCCAGCGCCAGGCGCAGGAGGGCACGCGCCCGTCGCGCAGCCCGCCCCTCTGGGCCAGCACGCCTTCACGGGCAGGCTTAAGTCGGGCCTGCCCTCCTACATGGGGATCTTGTAAGAAAAATAAAACATAGTCCAGAAATGCCCCCAAATGGTCAACAAATACTCAATACATAGTCCCCAGACTATGTTTCGACTCTTTTTGAATATATTCCTCCTGTAAAGGGACAGGCCCGACTTGAGGGTAGGCTCCGAACGACGAGGCGACAGGGGAGCGAACACCCGAACAACCTACGCTCCTCCTCTGCTTCGCGCCGGGCGGCCTTCGTGCTGCAAGGGCGGCGAGGGTCGTCGCGGGCCCGCGACCGCTCTTGGGAGAGGGAACAATAGGCCTGCCCCACGGCGCCCAGCAGAGGCTGAATGCCGAAAGCTTCGCACTGGCAGCAACTCGCGGTACGGCACGAGTCCCTCATTGATGAGCGCCGCGCGCTGCGGTTGGAATTGGAAACCACGTCTGTTCATGGCCCCCTGCCGCAAGCATCACGACCTCACAGTTTCACTGCTCAACTACCCGACGGCGCGCGTCGGCGCACGCGCGACCGGCGGGCGACAATGCCTCAACAGGGAAATCGTTGGTGATACGCAGGAATCGAATGACTTTCTAAAGTAGGATGACGATTAAGACAACAAATCACGGCGGGAACGATTAAGCAAGAGGTTGTTTGCCCCTCCCGCTTGTGCGCCGAGTGACCGCCTGAAGGGTCTGGGGGCTTTGCTACTGCTCGAAGTCCGCCCCCCCTTGGTCCTGAGGACCCCGAACCATCTGGAGCCCTCCAGACAGCAGGAACAGAGCGTCCAGCCAGGACTGAGGAGAGAGGAGAGAACGCGTTTCGTGGACGCTTGCTCAAAACAAATACTTGACACGTCGGAACCGCATCCCCCTTTAAACATGTGAGGCACTCGGAGAACCTGCCCCACCCCCCCGGACACCCCAAGAGGCCCCAAAGACGGCCGAAGAGGGATCCGAGTCGTCGAACGATCGGTCGAAGACGCCCAAGATGGCCGCCAGACGGCCGACGATGCCCCGAAGACGCCCAAAGAGGCCTCCAAGAGGCCTCTTATTAGGGCCCCAAAGGGCAGAATTCAGTGATTTCCTTGATCCGTGTTTGAAGATTTTGGCGTTCTCACCTTTTCGGCTTCCCGACGCTCCAGGACGGCCCCAGAAGCTTTCAAGACCGCCCCAAGACGGCCAAAGAGGCCTCCAAGAAGCGTCATGACGGCCCAAAAGGGCTCCAAGACGGCCCGAGAGGTCCCCAAGACGGCCCAAGCGCCCCTTGGACGTTTCCAAGAGCGGGCGCAGATGGGGGACCCGAGCAAACATTTCGAGCACTTGGCCCCCAGAAGCCCCCAGGAGGCCCTAGGAGACTCCCAAGAGGCGCCCAAGAGACGCCCAAGAGGACCCCACAAGGCCGCAGAGGCCCCCAAGAAATTTTGAAGAGGCTCCGAAACAACACCCCGCAGGCTTCAACTGCCTCCAAGACCCCGAGAGGCCTCGATGATATCCCAACGAACATCCAAGAAGCCTCAGACCCACAGCCCAGTCACGGTGCCGGGATGGGCCGAAGGCCATTATATAGAACCCTATTAATGCTGGGTCAAGCTCTAAAAGGATCCGGCTTAATCTGGATCTAGTTGTAATAGCATACTAGGCGGGCCTGATTACTTGCAGTAGCATTCGAATGCTACTACAAGCAATTGTCAAGCTCAAAACGACCTCACAATCTGGGCGAGAGCCTAAACGAGCTCAGAATCTGGGCGAGAGCACCGAACATGCTTAGAACCTGGGCGAGAGCACTAATTAGGACTGAATGCATATGCGTATACAAGGAAGATGTGTTTTGACATGATTTTGTTGTCTGCATCATGTTTGACATGATTTTTGTGTTTCGTGTTTTTTGACCTGATTTTGTGTTTTTGCTTCATCTAGCTCATCTTATGGGGGGGACACGACTTTCCGGTGTCACGCGATGTCTGGGTCTAGTCGGGCCCGATTAGCATTGCATATACTTATACTATCATACTAGTTGTATAGTTGCAATTCGCCGGCCCAACGGGCCAGAGGCGTGCTAAGATCTCCGGTAACTGGTTAACAATTCTCTAATTCGCGCGCGCGGGGCGGCCCCTGGGGGTCCCCGGACGAAAAGTACCCCGGGCGACTCCCGGCTGATTCCCGGGCGACTCCACCAGAGCGCTCCATGAGCGCACCAACAGGGCTCCGAGACGTCCCCGAGAGCCCCAAGAAAGGCCAAGAGGCCCCCAAGAGGCCCCCAAGATGGTACACGAGGGGTCCGACATGCCACAAGATCGCTCCAAGACGCCCAAGATAGCCCCCAGACGCCCCAAGAGGCCTCCAAGAGCACTTCCAAGAGGGCCCCAGGAGGCAAAATTCATTGCTTTTCCTTGGGTTTTTGAAAGACTTTGGAGTTTCCACCTTTTCGGCTTCCCGACGCCCCAAGACGGCCCAAGAGGCCCCCAAGATCGCCCCAAGAGGGCCCAAGAGGCCCCCAAGAGGGCCCCAAGATGGCCCAAGAGGGCTCGAAGACGGCCCAAGAAGCCTCCAAGACGGTCCAAGAGGGCCCCAAGAACGCCCCCAAAGGGGCCCCAGAGAGGGAACACGAAACAACATTTCGAGCCCTCGGCCCTAAGAAGCCCCCACGAGGCCCCAAGAGGCCCCTAAGAGGCCCCAAGAGGCCCCCACGAGGCCCTCAGGAGGCCCCCAAGAGTCCCCCAAGCGGCCCCAGGAGGCCCCCCAAATGCCCCCCCGAGCACGCAAACAAGTGCAAGCGATGCTACAATGTGCTCTCCTTTCGGTAGACTCCCAACGGGGCCCCTACAGACTTGCAACAAGCGTCAAGAACCTGCCCAAAAAGCACTGTCCAGGAGCGTTCACAAGTGCCGCGAAGAAGCCCTCCTTACGCCGGAAAGCCCGGAAAGCCGGGTGGGGTGAGCTGTTTTTCTCACCACCGCGCCCTCTCACGCAATGGCTTCCGCACGCCGCCCAGAGCGCGATGCTTCCCATCACACCCCCGACGACGACGACGACGACGACGACGACGACGACGACAGAAATAAGACAAACAAGATGCGGCACGCCGCGGTTCTGCGGACACGCAAATAAATACACACAAATCTACCCCCCCTCCCGCCCCAAGGGGCCCCGAAGAGCCCCCCAAGAGGCCCCCGGGGAGCCCAATACGCCGCCAAGGAGCCCCAAGACGCTCCCAAGAAGCCCCCAAGAGGCCCCAAATAGCGCTCCAGGGCCGGCGGAATGAGCGAAGCGATTCAATAACTCTAATATAATCCTATACTCTAGCTGGATACTGCTCGAATTAAATCCTTCAAGGTCTCGCTCCAACTCCAATGAACTCTGATTATAGCTGAATCAGACTTTCATCGCATGCTAGCCGGGCCCGATCCAACTCTAATAATATCCTACTACAGCTGGATACAATCTACTTGAACCCTACTAAGGCTCGACACTTTGCACCTCGACTCCGACTATAACTAGACCCAACTATAACTGAATTCTACTCGGGTTCGAACCAGCTGTAAGATAATCCTACTAAGGCTCGATCCAGCATCCTACAGAGGCTCGACCGTCGTCGTCGTCGTTGCCCGCTGGCGCCGACGCCGGCGCTCGTTGTCGTCGGTTGCCGCTAGGAAAGAAGGGGGGGAGCGCCGTTGCCACCCCCCATCCAATTCAGGGCCCCTACCCCCCCCCCCGCCTTGCATTTAAGGCTCCCCCCCCTCTCCCGCTTCGAACCCCCCCTCCCCCTTTCCAGCGTCCACAAGACGCGCTCTTGGGAGAGATGAAGCCGACGTGGAAGCCGACGTCTCTATCGTTTGAAGCTCTGGGACCTCGGGCGGGCGGGCTGGCGGAGATCGGCTGGCGGAGATCGGCTGGCGGCGAGCGGCGGCCGGCTGGCGGCGAGCTGCTGGCGGCGAACGGCGGGCGAGCGGCAGGCAGCGAGCGGCTGACGGCCAGCAGCTGGCGGCGGCGGGCGGCGGCGGCGAGGGGCCGCCGCGGAGCGGCGGGCGGTGCCCTGGTATCGGTAGCCCCGGCCGCTGGGTACGGAGCCGCCGGTCGGCACGGGCTCCAGCTGGCCGAAGGAGGACCTGCGAAGATTGGCGGGTGTACCCCAGGCCAGCGACTCGGGGGGACGTCACCGGGGGGTGCAGCCAAAACCCCCCCAGACGCGGATAGGACTGCCCACCTCCCCCTTCATGCATCATTCTCAGAAACCAAGCAGCATCACACAAATCCGCCACAGGCGGATATATGTCCCCAAACACTGCTTGCACTTAGGGGTTCTTACTTTGGTTCCCCGAGGAGATTGATTGGTCAGCCGAGGTTTCGCCTGGTGCCCGCCCGTGGGCGCCTCGTGCGCTGGGTTGGTCAGCCGAGATTTCGACTAATGCCAGCTCGTGGGCGCCTCGTGCGCTGGGTGGGTCAGCCGAGGTTTCGCCCGCCTAATGCCCGCCCGTGGGCGCCTCGTGCGCTGGGTGGGTCAGCCGATGTTTCGCCGCCTACAGCCCGCTAGCAGGCGACTCGTGGGCGCCTCATGCGCTGGGTGGGGTCGCCAAAGGTTCGCCTGGTGCCGGCTTTTGGGTGCCTCGTGCGCTGGGCGGCCGCGTACATAGGTTTTACCACAAAGATTGCACCACATAGCTTCCACAATATAACTTGCAGAACATTGTTTACACCACAGAGCTTACACCACACAGCTTACGCCCCAAATATCCCCCGTTCAAAAAGAGAGAATACATTATACCACCCTCTCTCCCCAGAAGTATCGGTACCCGCTGGGATAATATAATTATCCCCAAACAGTGCTTGCAGTTAAGGGGTTCTTACCTCTTTCCTAAGGAACTGGGCTCGAGTGTCGGGTCCGCCGCCTTGTTGTTGCTCTCGCCGCCCCGTCGCCGCCCCGTCGCCGCCTCGTCGCCGCCCGTCGTCTGAGCTCCAGTGTCGGGTCCGCCGCTTTATTGTCGCCGTCGCCGCCCCGTCGCCGACATATAGCTGTAGTAATACAAAGAGCATTTATACACATCGAAGAAAACGGATCTGGTTTGATTCGGGACCCGGCGGGCCTGGCTGGGTCGGGAGCGCCCCTGGAGGGCCTAAGAGAGCCCCAGGGTGTGCCCTAAGAGGGCCCCAAGACTGGCCAAGAGGGCTCCACGAGGTGTGTCAGACGGTCCTAGAAGGCCCCGAGTCGCCCAGCGATCAGTCAAAGACGCTCCACATGGCCTTCAGACGACCCAAGAGGCCTCCAAGATGCCCCAAGAAGCCTCCAAGACTCCCCCCAAGAGAGCTCCAAGAGGCACAAATCGTCCCAGTGTCGCGTGGATTCGAAACTACCGAGCCCTCAGCCCTGAAGAACTTCGATAAATGAGCAAACTTACGCTCCTGAGGTGTTCTATCCACGTGCCACTTCGATCGCACCGCCCGAGTCAGAGTCGGACAAATCCGCGATCTGACCGCCCGAGTGGGGGTCGGCCCAGTCGATCTGACCACCCGAATCAGGGTCCAGTCTCTCGGCTCGACCGCCACAGCGAAGGTCCGCCCACCCGAAACGATGGCACTGGAGGTCAATGGGCAGAGGAGGAGGAGGAGGAGACGCACTGGAGGGCAGTGGACACCGACACAGAAGGCAAGGACGGGGCAGGGGAACAGGGAGGAGGAGGAACACGATGACAAGGGGGCATGGAGGAGCCCCCCCCCCCTTCCCCAGAAACTCCCCTCCCCACCCTCGCCCTCCGCACCCTCATCCTCGAAACCGTCGTCGCCCGTCGTCCGTGCTCCGCCGTCCGTCGTCCGTGGTCGTCGTCGTCGCCGCCGCCCATCGTCCTCGACCATCGTCGGGCGTCGTCCCCGCCCGCCGTCGCCCCCCGTCGTCGCGGGCCGTCCGCCGCGCAAGGCGGGACGGGCCTCCGCTGCGGCGGCACGGAGGGCCCGCGCCTCGCCGCGCCGCCAAGCTGCGGCGCGCCCGCCAGAGCCCTGGACAGATCCGTCCGGCCTTCGCTGCGTGGGGCATCGCGTCGCCGTCGTCGTCAGCACCACGGCGGCCATGATTAGTCGTAATCGCAGCAACAATGGTCGTCAGCACCATCCGAATCACGATCGCCATCGTCGACAGCACCACCATGACCATGACCACGGCCATGACCATGGTCATCGTCATCAACAGCATCCTCTTCCTTTTCCTTCTCCACCATCCTCCTCCTCCTCCTCCTCCTTCTCCTCCTCCTCCTCCTCATCATCATCATCGTCTTCACCACCACCACCACCACCACCCGCATCAGCATCAGCATCAACATCAACATCATCCTCATCATCCTCATCGGCATCATCCTCATCATAATGATCATCAGCACCATCATCACAAGCTTGATAACCATCATACTCAACATCGTCAGCATAATCATCGTCATCGTCACCATCAGCTTCTGGGCGCTCACGTCGGCCCCGCCCGTTAGCGTATTTATGCCTCCGGAGCGGCGGTGCGCAGCGCGGGGTCCTGAAAAGGTCGCGCGCCCTCGCTCCCTGGCGTGCTTCGACAGTGCCGAAACGTGGAGCACCATCGACAGCAGCAGCAACATCTTTCAGCGGCAAAGCCTGGTCAGGCGGAGTCGACGGACTGCGGCATATACGCAGTGACGCAACAAACCATATCATCGCTACTCCTCGTTATTCTGGTCCCTCTGGGGCAATAGGAATGGTGGAGGTCGGGCCCTGCGTGTTGATCTTCTTCGGCGTCTTTCACGGACGCACCGTTGGTGGGTGCGGACGGACGGGTCGCCGAATGTTCACGCCATCCAGAATCCAGGCTACTCGTCGGCGAAATAAGGTGCCGGGTATTCTGCTCCCCGCCGCCAGCCCGTGGCCCATGGCTCGGAAGGCTGTGGGTTGCGTCCAAACCTGGTCTACGAAGCGTGTTCGCGGTTCCAGTCTCCGTCTACCTCTTTCTGTTCTCCCACATTATTCAGGCGCGGTTGGTGAATATTGGGTGCGGGAAGCCACCTCGCAGGCGCGTTGTGGTCGGCCACTTCTGCATGCGCGTTGCCATCGCCAGCTCCCGGTGCTTCTGCTACGTTGGGCTATGAGGCGCATTCAGGCTCATCCTCGGCGTCGCGAGGATGCTCGTGGAGGTCTTCAGCGCGCCGGCGTTCGCGCGGAGGCCTTCCTCGCGCGGGTGCTGGCGGTAGTCTTGCGGGTACTCGCGAGGTTCTTCTTCGCGCGGGCAGTCGTTGAGGCAGTCTTCGCGGGGATGATCGCGGAGGTCTCTGTCGCGGGAGGGCTCGCGGGCCTCTCCACGCGGGCGCCGGTGGAGGCCGTCTTCGTGGGAGTGTTCGCGGATGTGCTCTTCGCGCGGGTGTCCGTGGAGGTCTTCGTCGCACTAGTACTCGTGGAGGCGACGCCGCCGCGACGACCCGTGACGCCGTGGCACCCAGGGCGCCGTTGCGACGCTGTTCCGGCCGCGCCGCCGCCGTCACGACACCTTCTTCGCGTGGGTGCTGGCGGAAATCTTCCTCGCGCGGGTGCTCGTGAGGGTCTTCTTCTTCGCGAGGGCATTCGTTGTGGCCTTCTTCGAGAGGATACTCGCGGAGGTCTTCGTCGGGAGGGCGCTCGTGGGCCTCTTCTCGCAGGCGCCACTGGGGCCGTATTCGTGGAAGTGTTCGTGGCGGTTTTCTTCGCGCGGGAGCACGTGGAGGTCTTCGTCGCGCTGGTGTTCGTGGAGGCCTTCTTCGCGCGGGCGCTCGCGGAAGTCTTCCTGATGTTGGCTCTCGTGAGGTTCCTCGTCGCGCGGGCAATCGTTCGAGGCTTTTCTCAAGGGGATGCTCGCGGTGGTCGTCGGGCGGGCGCTCGCGGGCCTCTCCAAGCGGGCGCCGGCGGGGGCCTTCCTCGTGGGTGTTCACGAAGGTCTTCTTCCAAGCGTTAGTGTTCGTAGACGCCTCCTTCGCGCCGGTGCTGGCGGGGTCTTCCTCATGCGGGTGCTCGTGGGGGCTTTCTTCGACGGGGTGTTCGCGGAGGTAATCTTCGCGACGGTGCTCGTGGAGGTCTTCTTCACGCAGGTGCTCGTAAAGGCCTTCTTTGCGTGAGCGGTCGTGGTCGTCTTCGCGCAGAGGCCCGTGGTGCCCTTCTTTATGCGGTTGCTCGTAGAAGCATTCTTCGCGGTGTTCATCGAGGCCTTCTTCAAGCGGGGGTCCCTGGAGGCTTTCTTCTTGCAGAGGCTGCTCGCGGAGGTCTTCTAGGTCGTCGACGCGCGAGTGGGCATGAGCGCCCCTCCTTTGAGGCGGGCTCATCATCTTCGAGGCGCTCACGTCGGACCCACCCGCTGGCGTCTCCGGAGCGGTGGTGCGCAGTGCGGGGTCCTGAAGAGGACGCGCGCCATGACTCCCTGGCATGCTGCGACAGTGCCGAAACGTAGAGCACCATCGACAGCAGCAGCAACATCCTTCAGCGGCGAAACCTGGTCAGGCGGATTCGACGGACTGTGGCATATACGCAGTGACGCAACATACCTCATCATCATCGTCATCATCATCATCATTATTATTATTGGTATTCTTATTGTTATTATTATTACTATGATAATTATGATTATTATTATTATTATCAGCAGCATCATCATCATCGCCGTCATCGTCGTCTTCATCGTCATCATCATCGCCATCGTTATCATCATCATCATCATCACCACCACCATCATCATCATCATCATAATCAGAATCATCATCATCCTCCTCCTCCTCCTCCTCCTCCTCCTCATCATCATCATCATCATCATCATCATCATCATCATCATCATCATCATCATCATCATCATCATCATCATCATCATCATCATCATCATCATCATCATCATCATCTTCGTCATCATCATCAGTAGCATTATTACCATCATCACTAATCTCAGCACCACCATCATCGTAATCATAAGCATCATCAGCACCATCCTCCTCCTCCTCCTCCTCATCATCATCGTTGTCAGCATCATCGGCATCATCATCACCACCATCATCGTCATCAGCAGCAGCATAATCAGCATTATCAGCATCATAATCATAATCATAATCAGAATCATCATCACCACCACCA